CAGCAAGGGGCCCAGCAATCTTCTCCCCAGCTTCTCACGGAGTTCGAGGGTACGCCTGATTAGGTCCTGGGATTTATCCACTTTTTTGTGTTTTAAAATGTCCAGCACCTTTGTAATATGGACACTTTTTTGATATCATTATTTTTTTCCCCAAGTTCTCTAGTTTCCATATACTGCTCCATAGTAAATACTGACGTGAAATAATCATTTCATATCTCACCCATCTGCAGTTCCACACATAGACGACAATATTGATCTTTAAAGGGCTCTATTTTCTTCCTTGTTACTCTTTAGCCCTTAGTGTATTCTGATTGGGTTTTCAACAAGGACCAGTTGTATGACTTTTTAAAATTCATTCATAGGCTGTGGATGTTGCTGGCTAGGCAGCATTTATTGCCCATCCCTAATTGCCCAGAGGGCAGCTAAATGTCAACCCCATTGCTGTGGGTCAGGAGTCACATGTAGGCCAGACCAGGTAAAGAGGGCAGTTTTCTTCCCTAAAGGGAATTGGTGAATCAGATGTGTTTCTCCACAATTGACAATGGTTTCATGGTCATCATTGGACTTCTAATTTCACATTTTTGTTAAAGTCAAATTCCACCATCTGCTATGACAGAATTGAAACACTGCTCCCCAGAACATTACCTGGGTCTCTGGATTAACTGCTCCCCGGAACATTACCTGGGTCTCTGGATTAACAGTGCAGCAGTAATGTCACTAGGCCATCGCCTCCCCCATGTGTGTTTAGGAGAGTTCAGCACAGCAAGAACTTCTGGAGTGGTTCCTGTGTGAGAAGCTGCAGCTTTGTGTTTGGGCAGTACTGTGGAGACAACCAGCCTGTGAAGGAGGAAACGGCTCTCTCCCTCCCTTCTGTAAGTGGAGAAATAAAAGAAAGCTTTTCACACTGCAAATTCTCTGAATAGAAAAGGAATAAACACCTTCAGAGACACTGCATCCTGAACCAGTGAGCGAAAGGTTTAGAATCATTGTCCCCACAGCCTTGCATTGTCCTCAAAGAGTTGAAAAGAGCCAGAAGGATCCTGAAATCTGGATTGTGGTTCAACTGACATTTTTCACTCCCTCCCCAACCATAATATTTTTGTAAAAACTGAAAGATCTGCAGATGCTGTAAATCAGAAACAAACAAAAACAAAAATCAGTTGTGAGGAAGGGTCACTCAACCTGAAACGTTTACTCTGATTTCTCTCACAGATGCTGCCAGACTTGCTGAGCTTTTCCAACAATTTCTGTCTTTGTTCATAATCTTTGTACCTTGCCTTATCTCTTTATGTGTCTGTTTGTATATGAATTGGAGTTTTTATAAAGGGGTAGAGTGTAAGTTATAAAGAGTTATAAATTATATTTCATGTTTCATTTCTGCATGATAAGTTTGTAATGAGTAGCTGCTTTCCTGTTAAGTACAGAAGCCTGAGTGGTGTTATCTTTTAATCTGTGCTCATCATTCAGACACACTGGGGGCTTTGGATTGTATGGTTAAATCTTTTCACCTTTGTAATGACTTGGAATAATTTGGCTTGATTTCCAGTGCACTAGCCCAGTGAGGTGTGTCACAGTGACCCCTCTTAAAGAGGCAGCACTTATATAAACTCTAGTTAAGATTGAGATCGCATCACAGTTTGGGAGCTGGGGTAAATCACCAGGCTACTGATGGTGAGATTTTACAATTGTTGCTTGCAATTTATGCTTTTTCTTAAATCTCCTTTATCTGCTAGAATGAAATTAATGACAATGATGCAAATTCCAACTTCTTGCTGGATCGGAAATGTGTCAGAAAGAGTAGTGTGTTTTGCAGCAAGGGATAGTATGTACATGCACAACTGTTTCACTGCATTTCCAGCAAACAATATGTCCAGACATGCAAATCACAGATATCCAAACATAAATTAGAGCAACTAAGAGAAAAACAAGAGGAATAAAGAAACAAACCAACAGCAAAACACAAAACAATATGGGGGCAGAGATTGTAATCTAAAGTTATTGAACTGAATATGGAGATCTGAAGAAGTCACATGGGATTCAAAGCATTAACCCTGTTTCTCTTCCCTCAGGCCCTTGCAGACCCTACAGAGCTTCTCCAGCATTCTCTGTGGTTGAACTCAATGTTGGTTCCAGTAGGCTGCAGAATATCAAGTTGAAAGAGAAAGTGCGGTGTGCCAATTTTGAGTAGTTACTTTGAATAAAGTGAGAAAAGCAGAGGCAGCTGGAAGGAAGGCTTTGAACAGGGAGTGTCATACTTCAGTATTAAAGGTTTTGATCGTGATTAGTGTGGGGACATCTAGCCGAGAGCAAAAAAAAGGCATGATGAATGAATATCTCCAAATAAGTGGCAGATCATTAATTGGAGACTGGAAATAGAAATAGAAAGTGCTGGAGGAACTCAGTGGGTCTGGCAGGGAGAAACAGAGTTAACATTTTGAGTCTAAAATGACTTCATTTTGAGCCCAAAGATAGTTCTAGCAGGTTGGTCATGTTTTATTGCTTATCATTTATATTGTTGGAAATGTTGAAGAGAGTGTTGTTTTATCTGCTTTCTCAGCAATGTGAATGTTCACACAATCATAACCTTAGTGAAATCACAGGGTTAACACAATGCTGAGCTCAGAACTAATCTACTAAACAAATGACAGAGTCCACTCTGCTTATCACACCCATGAATAAAATCAGAAAATGTTTCTGCAATCACAATTTTTCCTATCGTTAATTTTAAAACTTCGAAACAATTGAATTGTGAAAGACAAATAAAATTCAACTTTAATGATTTTATCCAAGTAGGACTTTGCCTCCCATTTATGACTGAGGAGCAGGAGGCAACAGTTATGAAGATGTTTGCGTAGGAAGCTGCTGTTGGGACTGAAAGATTTCCTGGTTTCAAATTTTAAGGGGAGGTGATGGCCCAGTGGTATTATTGCTAGATTATTAACCTAGAGACTGAGGGGACCTGGTTCAAATCCTGCCATGGCAGATGGTGGAATTTGAATTCAATAAAAATCTGGAATGAAGAGTCTAATGATGACCATAAATCGATTGTCGGGAAAAGCCCATTTGGTTCATTAATATCCTTCAGGGAAAGGAAAAAGACCTAGATGTGACTCCAGACCCACAACTCTCTGGTTGACTCTTAACTGCGCTCTGGGCAATTAAGGATGGACAATAAATGCTGGCCTGGCCAGCAGCGCTCACTTACTATGAATTAATAAAAAGAAACTAAAAGTGGAAAGACCTAAGTTGTAAAGGTGTCTGTCATTTGAATCTGTCTGTAACACTGTCCTAGATGCAATTATTTCATTTCTCCCCAGAAGTACACAAGGTACAGCTCCAAACACATGGGGCACTTTCAGGATGTGTTAGTTACCAACAATAAGTCTGCACTTAGGACAATCAAACCAATTGAGATCTCTCCTTTTGTTCGCAGAACATTTCTGGCAATGTTGATACATGACACTTTTTAAAAACTTCCAAACTCTTTTGGTTGTGTTGGAAATTAGGGTCTCCTTTAAAACTATTTTCTTTACATATTCCATATTTAATATTTCCTGTGGAGCATGAGACCTCATTTAACTGTTATAATGGCAACCAGCCTTCTGCAAGTGTAACAATAGATTTGTCAGGTGCCACATTGCAGTTTTTGGAAAAATAAGAAGGTTTTGTTTTCTGACGAGGAATGAAAACGGAACTTCAAATGGAAGTGGGCAAAGGGACAGCAGGCATGCTGGCATCATTGAGTAGGTACCCCTGGTCATTGGCTGAAGGGTTTTAGACAGTCCCCAAACTAATGTACATTAACAGGGAAGAGTGAAAGAAAGGGAGAGAAATAGATAGAGACACAGAAACAGAGAAAGGTAAAGACAGGGAGAAAGAAAGGGAGAGACAGAGACAAAGAGAATGATAGAATAAGAGAGAGAGAGAATCCAGGGGAATGAGACATGATCTTCTTGAAGAAGACCAGGAGTTCCCCTCCATCAGGTCGAAGGAAGAACAGACTATTATCTGTAAAAAGTGCATGACATCAGGGACAAAGACTGCACCATTTCAAAATCCAGCCCCTGCTCCTTCATTCTACAGAACCAGTCCTCATTTATCACATTGTAAACTTCCTTTATCTCTGCTTCTTAACAAACTCAGTAAACAATAAGAAAATTGCTACTAATTTTCAATGCCTGTATTAGACAACTGTGATCACAATTTCCCCCTAATAGACAGTCCCAGGAGCTCCCCATTTCCTGGGTGACCATTGATTGTGATGCCATTACACTTTAAGCTTGGCTTTGTCCCATTCCTGGGCATAATGAGAGTGGGTAAACCAAATGAAAAACATCAGGTAATTTGTTATGAAAGTTTGTTTAGTTAAGGGACTGAAAGAAAACAATTTTTACTGACTATTGGCTTATTAAGAAGACGAGTATGAGAAAATCCAGCAGCACAATCCAAGATCATCCATGACCATTAGGAACTTGCAAATGAATGGAGTGAAAGTACATCATTTGAAAGTTTGGAATAATGGAGGAGTTGCTTTGTGAAAGGATAGTGTCAGGAATACTGTCCAATTCTTTAGGTGCAAACAATACTTTATTTAGAATTACTAAGCATTGATTAATAGGTACTTTCATAAATTTATAACAACAGCAAGATGAACTTGACTAAGTGTTTTATCATATTGTTCTTAATTCCATTCAATATTGGAATAAACTATAAAACAATTAATCATTGCTTTATGGTAGGTCTGTAAATATATTGGACCTTGTCCTCTATTGACCGTATATAGCATTTCCTCTACTTTGGGTGGTCTGTATCTCAAATGCTTTATTGTGAAAATAACTGACTTTTCAAGAATGAAGATGGTTATGTATGGTTTATCTTAGTACAAATGTTTTCCCAGTTTCCCTGGAAAGAGGATTGAATTAGATGGACATGATCACTGGGGTGGCAGGGGAAAGGTTGGAGACTGAAATGTATTTTTGACGGTGCCAGAAGGTTATTTTTCAATCTGTGCTTGGTAAGGCTCCACCAGACTGCCCATGTCCTACGCCTTTTGGACCAAAGTTCCTCGCGTAACAAGCTGCAACAGTAAGAAAAATTAGTTAACTTTTCATTGAATCATTTAAAAGATGACTAAATAAAAGTGCTCGGTCAATCACATCCTGAGTTTAATATGATTATTCAGCTGTTATTTCACTAAAACCATCAGAACAAGTGTTCTCTTAACCATTGGGTCATTTATCCAACAATGCATGTCAGACAGAAACATAACATAAACAAAATGGAACTTATCATTCCACTTTCTGATCAAACATTGTATTGTTGAGTAACCAAGGATTAATGGGATTCATTGCTGGCAAAACCAACATTTTCTTGGCTAACCCCTTGAGAAGGTGAGCTGCCTTCCTGAACAGCTACAGACATTTAGGGAGGGAGTACCAGGATTCTGACTCAGCAATAGTGATGGAAAACCAATATATTTCCAAGTCAGGGTGGTGAGTGGCTTGGAGAGGGACATGGAGGTGGTGGTGTTCCCATGTATCTGCTGCATGTACCCTTCTAGATGATAGAGGTCATGAATTTGGAAGGTGTTGGTGAAAGAACCTCAGTGATTTGCTGCATTGTAGTGTGAAAACAATACACACTAATGCTACTGAGGGTCAGTTGCGGGTTGAATATGTGCTTGAAGTAGTGGATGAGATGTTAATCAATTCTGCTGTTTTTTTTATGCTGGCTGGGGTCAAATGTTGGGTATTGTTGGAAATGCTGTCATCTGGTAAATGAAGAGTATTCTATCACACTCCTGACTTGTGCATAATACTGAAAAGGCTTTGGGATGACAACAGAGAATGCAAATACTACAGAATTCCAGTCTCTAACATGTTCTGTGGCTCGATATTTATGTGGCTCGATTCTGTTCAATCGTATCTTCTAGGATGCTGACAGGCAGGGGGATTTGATAATGGCAATAGTGTTGAATGTCCAGGCAAAGTGTCTGTCTCCCTTTGGCATTGAGAATCGGTATCTAAGATGTGCTCAACCTTCAGTTATTGCTGGAAAAGGGCACATTTTATCAAAGATTTTTGGTTTGCACACATCAGCAAGAAATATCAATCTAAAGGAGAACAATACTTTTGCACTGTATGAGAAGAGACTGATGATTGGTAGAGACTTTGCCATTAGAGAATACGTCAGCTAGGTGATGACTGACAGTTAACTGCCAAGCTTTGTTTAAATTGAAACAAGTTGGCTGACTCTGATTGGTCAGGGCATTTCCATGAGGAACGGACTAGGGACTGGTTATTAGCTCTTTCAAGTAGAAACAGGCGCAGTGAATGTACATGTTCTTACTGTCAGCAAAGAACATGGTTCTCTATGTTGATATGTGCATCCTCCACTGAAGGCAAGTGCAGCACATTGCAAACCTAGCCGACAGTTTAACCAAATTGCAGTAAAATGAATCTATGTTTAATGATGCTGCTTTGCCTGCTGTGTTCATCCAGCCCTGCACCTTGTTGTCTATGTTTAATGTGGCTGCTTCAGGGAGGAATTTGGCCACAATTGCAAATAAGGTTGCGGAAATGGTAACATCCACATGAAACAACAGAAGGAGCTTCAGTATGAAGGTCTGATTGAACAGACCTTACCCCTAATGATGTACAATTCACCTAAGCACCACCACCAAGCTCCCTCCACACCACACACCATCGTGACTTTTTTTATTTGCTTATGTGACATGGGTGTCTCTGGCTGGGCCAGCATTTATTGCCCATCCATAGTTGCCCTTCAGAAGGTGATGGTGAGCTGCTTTCTTACTGCTTCAGTCCACGTGCCATAGATAGACCCACAAAGAGGGGATTCTACAAATTTGACCCAGCGACAATGAAGGAACGGCAATATATTTCCAACTCAGAATGGTGAGTGACTTGGAGTGGGACTTGCAGGGGGTGGTGTTCCCATGTATCTGCTGCCCTTGTCCTTCCTGATGGAAAAGTCATGGGTTTGGAAGGTTCTGTCTGAAGATCTTTGGTGAATTTCTGCAGTGCATTTTGTAGATAGTACACATTGCTGCCTGACTTGTGCATTGTAGATGGTAGACAGGCTTTGGGGAGTCAGGGGGGAGTTATTCGCTGCAGTATTTCTAGCCTCTGACCTGTTTTTGTAGCCACTGTGTTTATGGAGTGAGTCCAGTTGAGTTTCTGATCAATGGTAACCCCCAGGATGATGATAGTAGGGGATTCAATGATGGTAACACCATTGATTGTCAAGGGGCAGTGATTAGATTGTCTTTTATTGGAGATGGTCATAGCCTGATATTTGTGTGGTGCGAATGTTATTTGCCACTCGTGAGCCCTAGCTTGGGTATTGTCCAGATCTTGCTGCATTCGAACACGGACTGCTTCAGTATTTGAGGAGTCACGAATGGTGCTGAACATTGTGCAATCATCGGCGAACATCCCCACTTCTGACCTTATGGTGGAGGGAAGGTCATTGATGAAGCAGCTGAAGATGGTTGGACCAAGGACACTACCTGATTACAAGGAATCTCTTCTTCTCATTACGATGTATACTATCCGGAGCGAGTCATCCATAGCAAGGCACAAAGACCCAACTGTTAATCTGACAAACCCATTTAAAATTGATTCGTGCATTTTACTGCAGCTAATTAATTGATGAAAATAAAGTAAAAATTCTCTCCCTCCCTCCCATGATGATCAACACTTGAATGAAGAGACATGAGGGCAGTCCTGCAAGGCTTGATGTATAGAATGCACCACTTGTAGTGAAAACTAGGAGCAACTCTTACTTTAACCTGGTTTTCTCCCCCATAAGAAGTAGACAATTGTATCGCAGATGTTACCTTTGCAGTAAATTTCTCCATCTTTGTCAGTGACCGTGGTAGACTCCAAACTCTTACCACACAGTGCACAGCGGAAGCAGGTTTTGTGCCATGCCTGTAAAGGGACAAAGTGAGGATTACAAAATTTTACTGGATGAACACTTGTCAGTTTAATCATGGCTGTGCTTGCTACAGGGTACACACTCCATTCACATGTCAGCATCACCATTAGAAAGTTGTATTTTAGAATTTTGCTTTGGGATTTGTTTTTCAATTGGATCCATAAGGACAAGATCTAAAATAATTAAATCACTGGCTCAGCAACCAAGGTGCATGAGCTGCCACCATAAAGCGATTAGGTGGTGGTGGGGGGTGCGAGGCAAAGGTGCTGAGAGTGGGGATGGCGTGGGGAGAGGAATGTGAGGCTGGAGAAGGGGGTGGGAAGTGAGGGGCAGTGAGGGATGGGCAGCAGTAACAGGCTTTGTGGGTTGTTAAAATGCATTGGCAGGAGAGACACTGTTAAATCATGCCAGTAACTTGCTTTCATGATGTATTTTCAATTAATTAAACATCCCAAAACACTGTGTGGGAGTGTTATCACCTTTGAGGGTGACAGAGATAGGGCTGGAGAATGGCATTTATCTTTTCCTGGAGCTGGTACAGACACGATGGATCAAATAGCCTCCTTCTGTACTGTAAAATTCTATGAGTCAATGACAATCAATTTTATGAGAAAAGTAACTCTGGGTGCATCTTCACAGTAAATCCTCAACACAAACAACACACCTGACATACTAACCTAGAGAATGGAGAAAGGTTAAACAAACTCAAACACCACTATATCCACCTCCATCATTTTCTGGATGTAATGAATCATTGACAAACCATCAAGAAAGCACTAAATAAAACACAGAACTGCAGATGCTGGAAATCTGAAATGAAAACAGAAATTGCTGGAGAAACGCCACGTCTGGCGGCATCTGTGGAGAGAGAAACAGAGTTAATGTTTCAAGTCCAGCGACCCTTCTTTAGATCTCAAGAAAATATCTTTGCTTGATTGGGCGCCAATACATTGGATTGCTGCCAAAGCTATTGGGTGAAGTCAGTTCACTTTTTATTGACATTCTCCTGTACTTCGTCTAAAGACCCAAAATCTTTCAATCATTTCAATCTCGAACATTATCACTAAGGAGGCAGTGCTGGGCAAGCTAATGAGGCTAAAGGTAGACAAGTCTCCTGGCCCTGATGAAATGCATCCCAGGGTACTAAAAGAGGTGATGGGGGAAATAGCAAATGCACTAGTAATTATTTACCAAAATTCACTGGACTCTGGGGTGGTTCCTGCAGATTGGAAAACAGCCAATGTGATGCCACTGTTTAAAAAAGGAAGTAGACAAAAAGCAGGTAACTATAGTCAAGTTAGCTTAACTTCGGTAGTGGGGAAAATGCTTGAATCTATCATTAAGGAAGAAATAGCAAGACATCTGGATATAAATTGTCCCATTGGGAACACCCAGCATGGGTTAATGAAGGGTAGGTCATGTTTAACTATCATAAAGGTCATGTTTAACTAATTTGGTGGAATTCTTTGAGGACATTACTTGCATGGTGGACAATGGGGAACCTGTGGATGTGGTGTATTTGACAAGGTGCCACACCAAAGGCTGCTACATAAGATAACGTTGTACGGTATTACAGGTAATGTATTGGCATGGATAGAGGATTGGTTGATTAGTAGTAAGCAAAGAGTAGGGGTAAAAGAGTGTTTTTCTGATTGGTGGTCAGTGGCTAGTGGTGTGCCTCAGGGATCAGTGTTGGGACCTCAATTGTTTACAATTTACATAGATGATTTGGAGTTGGGGACTAAGTGTGGTGTGTCAAAATTTGCAGATGACACTAAGATGAGAGGTAGAGCAAAGTGTGCAGAAGACACTGAAAGTCTGCAGAGGGATATAGATAGTCGAAGTGAGTGGGCAAAGGTCTGGCAGATGGAGTACAATGTTGATAAGTGTGAGGTCATCCATTTTGGTAGGAATAACAGCAAAATGGACTATGTTTTAAATGGTAAAAAATTGCAGCACGCTGCTGTGCAAAGGGATTTGGGTGTCCTTGTGCATGAATCGCTGAAGGTGGGATTGCAGGTGCAGCAGGTAATTAAAAAGGCAAATGGAATTTTGTCTGCCATTGCTAGAGGGATGGAGTTTAAAAGCAGGGACGCTATGCTGCAGCTGTATAGGGTCCTGGTGAGGCCACACCTGGAGTACTGTGTGCAGTTTTGGTCTCCTTACTTGAGAAGGGATATACTAGCACTGGAGGGGGTGCAGAGGAGATTCACTCAGTTGATTCCAGAGTTGAGAGGGTTGGATTATGAGGAGAGACGGAGTAGACTGGGATTGTACTTATTGGAGTTCAGAAGAATGAGGGGAGATCTTATAGAAACATATAAGATTATGAAGGGAATAGATAAAGTGGAGGCAGGGAGGTTGTTTCCGCTAGCAGGTGAAACTAGGACTAGAGGGCATCGCCTCAAAATAAAGGGAAGCAGATGTAGGACTGAGGTCAGGAGGAACTTCTTCACCCAAAGGGTTGTGAATCTGTGGAATTCCCTGCCCAGTGAAGTGGTTGAAGCTACCTCACTGAATGTGTTTAAGGCAAGGCTAGATAAATTTTTGAACAGTAAAGGAATTAAGGGTTATGGTGATTGGGCGGGTAAGTGGAGCTGAGTCTCAAAAAGATCAGCCATGATCTTATTAAATGGCGGGGCAGGCTCGAGGGGCCGGATGGCCTACTCCTGCTCCTAGTTCTTATGTTATGTTATGTTATGTTATATTATGTTATGTCATTTCCGAATTTCGGAATATTTCGGATTTTAGAATGAAGGTAGAATGCCTAAGCACAAGTGCAAGACACAGAAAATACTGCAGATATAAATATTTACCTAAAACATTACAGAGTGACAGTAAAAATAATTTTTACTTTCATCCAAAGACTACACCTTCCCAAACCACTGGAGTAAATGATGCTGTTTGAGTCTCTTCAAAACATTACCTGGTATTTGGTGGACGGCTGGTTCACGATGCAGGGTGATACCAACAGCATGGGTTCAATTCCTGCTCCCACTGAGGTTACGATGTAGTCCTGCCTTCACAATCTCTCCCCTCGATAGACCCTCAGGTTAAGCTACCACCAGTTGTCTCTCTGTAATAATAGAGCAGCACTATGGCCCTCTGGGGTGATGGTGAGTTTTAATGATTTCTGGACTGGAGAGGTCATTGTTTGTTGCAGGTTCCTGAACGTGCTCCTTCAGTGGATTGATATCTGACTAAAAGCAGATTGTTCACATAAGGTTTTCTGTAACATTTTGTATCTTGCTGAAATGGCAATTTTCTGTCATATGGAACTCGAGATGGTAACTTTGCTTCTCTATCCACAGATGCTGCCTGATCTGCTGAGTTTCTCCAACACTTTCAGGATTCACAGTGATCTTCCTGGGCACATTTCCTGCGTTTGCCAGTGATTATGAGAGGCCTAAATAAAACCAAATGACCAGCTGTTGTTTCTGTTAATGATCCTCAAAAGCAACAGCTTCCCCAAGGCTTTTGGCAATTCAATTTGCAGATAATCTTTCATTTTATTTGCAGATAATCTTGTTGGGATTGCTATACAATTCGTTTTACCTGCCACATGGAATGCATGATAAGCATTTTACCCATCACAAATCTTAATTAAAATGCAAGGCTGGGGTTTCAACTAAGCTTCCAGTGAAAAGGCAGAATTTATATTTTATCACATTCAATAAATGATGGGTCCATAAGCATATAAAAATGTAAAAGGAAATCGTGGTGGTATTTGAGTTTTCTCCCCTAGGACAACTGACCTTTCACTTTATTTGAGGAAGTAAATGTTAATTCAGCTTTTAAAAGGCAGATTGCACATATCTAATAAAAGACATCAATGACCAGTAGCCTGATGTTTAAAGTGTAATAGTGTTAAAATAAAGTTAAACCTGTTGTTTGCCAATTAGTAGAATCCATCTGTAAGCAGACAAATGTTGGGATTCTCATACATTTACAAAGCTGGGAGACTTTGCTCGGATTTGACAAGTGGAGCAGAATTTGACAGTTCCAAGTGAAGGCCACTCCCAGGCTGAAAGATCTAATTTAGTCCCCGAGTGACAGTCTTTTCTCCATAGCCCTGAAAATTAGACCTCTCTAAGAGTTACCTTGTAAAACCAGCCACCAAACTAGATTCAACCACATTTTCAGGCCGTGTGGTTCAGAACACTTTGTGGAAAAGGTTATTGTTTCCTCTCTGGGTGAAAATATTTTTCTTAAGATCTCCTCTAAATACTTACTCCTCACCTTAAACTTATGTCCTCTGGTCTTAAACACATCAGCCATGGGGAAGGGATTTCCACGATCTACTCTGTCTATGCTGCTCATAATTTTGTATACCTCAATCAGATCCCCCCTCAGCTTCCTCTGCTGCAAGAAAATCAACCCCAGCCCATCCAGTCTTTCCTCATAAATGAGAGTTTCCATTCCAGGCAAGATTGCGGTGAATCTCCTCTACACCCTCTCTAGTGCAATCACATCCTCTTCAAAGTGTAGTGACCAGACTGCACACAGTGCTCCATCAATGGCACCTAACTATGTTATAAAAGGTTGTAACAAGACTTCCTTGCTCCTATATTCTCCTCCCCAGCTAATGAAGGCAATCATCCTGTATGCCTTCTTCACCACCCTCTCTACCTGTGCTGACACCTTCAGGGATCTATGGACTTGTACACCAAGGTTCCTTTGTCCCTCAGTACTCCCTGAGGACCTACCATTCATTGTGTAAATCCTTCCCTTATTAGATCTCCCAAAATGCATGACCTCACACTTTATGGGATCCTCCGCGCTATCAACAACACCATTAATTTTCATGTCATCTGCAAATTTGTTAATGATACTTCCACATCCACATCCAAGTCGTTAATGCACATAACAAACAGCAAGGGTCCCGGCATCGATCTCTGTGGTACACTGCTGGTCACAGTCTTCCAATCACAAAATCACCCCTCCACCATCATAATTTGCCTCCTGTTTGCGAGCCAGTTTTGGATCCAGTTTG